TCTCAGGAAATCATTAAACAGACACTTGCTGGATTTTTGAGGAACTGGAGCAATAAGAGTTTTATGTTTTTACTATACAAAGCTATTGGATGTAATTCAAACAAAATTTCAGACAAATTTTCAAACTGATGTAAACATTTTTATTCATTGTAATGGTTGTGTTGCTATGATTGCTATTATTCATTGGTTGTGATGCTACACATGACGTCCTCCACCCCAGAACGTTTCCGCCATTCTGGTTTTGGGGTGTAACAGAAGGAGCCAAAAGCGAAGATAGAGGAAAATTAGTCTGTTGGTTAGCTAGCTAGTTAGCCGGAGAAATAGCTTTTTTTGTTTTTTTTTTCTTTTTGTAAAAGTTAGCCGCACTATTACAGAAAGCATTTGTTTATGTGGTTAACATGATTAACTAGTGTGAGTATGGAACCACACCTTTTATGACCGCACCAATTAAACTTGCAATCACCTCCATTAAGCAAGCCTCCATAGACGATACTCTTCAAGATCTCAAAAGATTTAGAATAGCGTCATTATGTTTGACCTTAGATCAATGCAGGAGAGGTGGCTACTCGAATATGTTTCATGTTTTATGGGTGTTTTACTTTTACCACCCAAATGAGAAAGGACATCATTAATAGCCGGTGACTCTTTTGGCTTTGAATATGCTCCTACATTCGATCCATCATTTTCACCTCCACAACATTAGTTCATATGATAAGATTTTTAACCACAAAAAACTAGTAACGAAAAGATAGACATAATAAATAATTTCATTTGGTTCCCCGACTTCTGGATCATTAACAATATTGTTGGGTTATAACTCGAAAAATGCTAAAACGCTTCCCTTCTTACATTTAACCAAAGTGTAAGACTTAATTCAGTACACAGATATAAAAAAAACAACTAACTTACAACATGAACCAGAATATAGTGATGAGGGTGGTAGTGATGGTGCTTCAAATGTTGGTAAACGAATGGTCGTGGTGACTAGAGCTTGTCTGCGTAAGCTTGAATGAAATATTACAATGAAGAGGGGAGATTTGGGAATGGTATCTATATATACGGAGGGAACTAGAGCGAAATGAAATTTTTGAATGAATCTTTTAGAGCGATGATTACATGATTTTTTGGTGCGGTTACTATGATAAAATGGTGCGGTATTGAACTAATGCACCAATAAATACGCTTTTAATACCTTTTATTGCGGTTATACGAACCACAACGATAAATGCTTTAAATGGTGTGGTTGGTTCGTGTATTGATGCGAAATTCTTTTACTAGTACGGTTTAGCTACAACGGCACCAAAAAAAACCCTATCACACCAAAAAGTTTTAGGCTACCACCGCACCAAAAAAAACCCTACCGCACCAAAAAAATAGGTTATGTTCTAGTGGTGTCATAAATGGTTGATATGAAATGGAATGAAAATTCTAGTCTTATATATGTGTAATACTACAAAAAGTGTAATTTGGTCAAAAGCGACAAAAATAAGGAAGTATGATTGTTATTACCTTTATATATGTTATTATAAGTCATATAATTTATTAGAAATGAGTTTCATGGAAATGAGGGTAAAATGAGAAGAATTGTGAAAAATTAAAATTTACTTGAAATAATGAAAGTATTAAATTTGGAGCAATGGGAGGCTAACCAAACGAAGGTGTTAAGGAACAAACAAGGTTGAAATGGAAAGAGGACGTATAATACTAAACAATGAAAAATAAATCAACTTAATTGGTAAAACAATGAGCAAATTATGAGCTTGCAAAGTTAAAAGACAATTCATTCATAAGTTATGGGTTATTTCAAAATTCCAAGGTACTAACTTTAGAGGTTATTTCAAAATTCCAAGCCTTACCTACATGTTCATATGCTATGTGTACCACGCTGACCTCATTTAACTACCTAATTAACCTTATCGCTGCCCGGTTTCAGTTCGTTTAATTAAAAAACACTTCCTAAAGTCATGTATGTGTGCTCTTGCTGAGAAAACTAGGTGAATGCTCTTAATCCAAATTTAAGATCAAATCAAAGGGATTATGATTATTAAAGGAAAAAACAAGGTAACACCCCAATCATTTTCATTTGTATGGATCAATTTCAAAATCATGAAAGTTCACATGAACCCTACTTAAGCACTTATTTACAAGTTTCAAATTATCATAGGGTAATTACTGAAAGATAGAAATTAACATGTTATTAGGGCATATTAACATGTTTTAATCGAGGGCTATTGCTATATGATCATGATGCAAATTGACATTACGTACTCCATAAAGTACATCATGATTAGTCTTGAATTATTGAAACTGGAATAATAATTATGAAGAAATTAGTGTATGATTAGTAGTGATTAGTAAATATCATGATAAATTAATATTGGATCGACATTATGTCAATAATGAAAGATTAACACAAGGATGTTAAATCTTATAGCCACCAGGGTCGGTCTATTGGTATTCCATGCCTACAGCAAGATAAGAAAAAAAAACCGCAAGATAAGAAAAAAAAGCCCTTATGTTTGTACCTTATGACATACCCAACACATTTATAATTTTTTTTTAATAAAAGAGCAAGACAACTTTATAATAAAAGAAAATACAAAAAAAAAAAAAGACACAATCCAAAATGCATATGCCATTTTTAGGGTTTGAACTCTCACAAACGAGTGTGGATAAAGTGTCATATACATTAAGAATGTCTATTTTATTAACTTATTCAACTGTCTGGATATAAGTAGATGATGATTTTACCTGTATAATTGGGAATGATGATAAATATCAAATTGTCAACATAATAGATGTATAAATTAATATTTTTTTCAAACAACAATATATAAATGTAACTATATTTAATCACCAATATATTCAATTACTTAAATTAAACACCATTTACATATGTTAATGGTAACCAAATTGAATTAATCATGACATAATCAAGTACATTTATTGTGTCTTTATGAATTAAAAAGGAAAGGCAATTTCAGAGCAAAAGTTTCTAAACACAAAGTTTTCCAAACCAGTAATTATAGATGATGAAGGGCTCTTGTATCATCCTATAAGCATCTTCCTTGGCAAGCTATTGTAGTTTTCAAAAGAACACTTTGAGATACAACAAGATAACAAAAAATCGATTCACACCACATAAACATCAAAAGTTAAGAACGAAAGAAAGATTCACAACACAACAACATCAACAAATGAAATGGTAAATAATCTTATTTGAATCCACATCAATCGGTTAAAAGGTATACTTGTATTAAAATATAAGGTTATTTGCTAAAATGACAATATTAATTCTAACATTTTTATAATTTTATTGACAAACACCGAAAATTTCTAGCAACTTTATCAATTAGGGAAGTCACAAAGTTAAAAATAAAAGAAAAAAAGGGGACAAAAACTTTAATTCAACCACACCGTAAATAGAATCTTAAAAAAAATAATAATAACAATCTCAAAGAGTTTTTATTTGGATATTATAAATCGTTTCAAAAACTATTGAAATTTCGAACTTATAGCTATGCAAATCGAAGGTTGAATACTTCTTGCCCACACATTTGGTTTGAAAGAGAAAAAATTAATAACTATGATATAACAACCTCATAATAAAAGAGTCCAGAGGGAAACCAAATTGGGATATCAATTAGAACGTCCTTCGTCAAAAGGTACCAAAGTCAACATCGATCGACTAAAGTGCAAGTTGGTATATTGAGAAAGAGAAAATCAAAATTTTGGGATTTTTCAATATCAAAGCGTTCACGGTCTCAATATTAAGACTTTTCCCGTCTTTCAGCATAAATCTAAAACTTGAGAAGAGAGTCAATTTTTTTCATTGCTCTGTGCGGTTCTGTCGGGATGGTCAAGAGATGATCAACGACGCTAAACATGATGCGGTCGGTCTCAAAAAGTTCAAGACATCGGTGAGAAGAGAAGGTGGTGACTATGGTTGTACCGAGAATGAAAACTAACAAGAAGAAAAGGAGAAGATATGGATTGGAGGCTGAAGTGAGATAATCAGGAAAAACCTGTTACAAATTAAATATTATATTAGAACGTGTGTCCACATCAATCCCAATTCTCATTAAAGAAAAAGAATATATACTTGTAAAACATACATAGGCCGTATGTCAACATTAATGGGTCGGGTATGTATAAATACATAGATATACATACCGAAATGGGCTAACAAATATGCCAGCTATAATAGTTACATGGAGTTTTGAGAGATAACAAGATTTTTAACCCAAGCTACCAAATTAAGATTAACATTTTTCTTTCTGTTCAACATCTACAAGAAAAAAAAATATAAAAATAAACCACGTTCAAACAACTCTTCCTTTTTCAGGTTAGATGAAAGAAACAACATTTTCTTCTTGAATGGCCAAATTCCCCATAAATACATCCAATGACACTCTCGATTCCCATTTAGTTAGAGTGGAACATTTTCTTCAAAAGCATATTAGTAGGTGGTTTATTAATATTCCTAATTAGATTTGATCCCTTTTCATTTTTGATGGTGTTAACCACTTCACCACCTAAAATGGAGGAATGGTTGTACTTCAAAAAATAAATTAATTATAAAGATGCAAAATATTACGATTTTTAATGAAACATAACCATGTGAATAATAATGGTGCATGTCCTTCAGAATCCAATATACATATGGGCCATAGTTTTGCTCACTCTTTTCCACTTACATTGCAGAAAATATGTGGCATACTTCATTCAACGTCTAATCCTTTGGGTCCAATAACAAATTGGAAGACAAAACCATGTGATCTTGCATTTTGCTAGAATGTGTCACAATCTCTTCGCTAAAATTCCTACTATGACCCAATCTTATTGTAATCTTCTTACACCTATATAACGCATCCAATTGTGCAGATATCAAGCACAACTCCTCCACAGCACCTGTCACAAAAACGAAATCCTTTCATATTTCATTTTTTCACCAAAACAAATTAAGTGACCTTACCCTTCATATATACATGGCTATTCGTATGCCTCGGATCATTCAAGCAAAGATAGTTCTGGGCCGATCATCGTCCAATGGAAGCCGTTCATCGTTATCTACAGAAATCATCCCTAAAGGACATTTTGCAGTTTATGTTGGTAATCAAGAGAAAAGGCGATTCGTTGTTCCTGTATCATTATTAAACCAGCCTTCGTTCCAAGACTTGCTACATCAAGCAGAGGAAGAATTTGGATTTGATCATCCAATGGGCGGCCTCACAATTCCGTGTCGTGAGGAAGTGTTCATTGATGTTGCCTGCCGCCTTAGGGCTTTCTTTATCAATGTCCTCTAAGCCATTAATTGTAAATCAGAGGGAGTAATGTTGTCTCCAAATTAATTGTATGATAACAAAATTTAGTTTCAGCATTAATACATTAATGACGAGCATAGTTCAACTTATGGTGTTCATGTCTATGCCATTAGGGCTTTCTTTATCAATGTCCTCTAAGCCCACCAGAACCACGTACTTACTTTTGTTCTTTAGCTTGTATTTTCAATCTGTTCAAAAAAAGTGTGTATGCCACATCTTTGTCCATATACTATAGCCTTAAGGCCTGGATCAGTTGTTTCTATAACACCACCTACCCAAGAGCTATCAGTTATTGTTCTTTTCCTCTAACCTGTTATGATAGGGACTGATTGGTGAAGAGAAATCGGCCGATGACCAATGATCAATAGTTAGATAAAAATTCATGGTAGGATCACACATGTTAGTGTATTAACTCAAGGGAACGACTTTGTAAAGGGCATTGTAATGTCTCTCTTGAGGAAGCTCGGAAGTTTAAAGAAAAGAACTCATATTGCGAATACCATGGTACTTAGCTTCTTCTGATGGCAAACTATTAGGCATATTTATATTAGATCATGACCATATTACTAATTAGGAAGGTTTCAATATAAAGTCTAGCTACAACTCTTGTATAGATATCATGAAAACTAAGGAAAAAGGCAAGGCATTGAGTTTCAAATATTATAATCACAAAAGAATTCCAACAGAGACCCCTCTTGGAACATCCTAAACATCATCACATCCTACTTTCTTCCCAAGAGATTTATTCCGCTACAAATCTTAATTACTCAAGCAACATGGCAATCACTAACAACCTACCAAAATAGTTAGAAAGACCCCACAATACATGGACCTATATATATCAAGTTTTCAACATCACAAGTTACTGCTTGTAATCAATAAATGAATAATATAAAAACACAATGGGTCACTTAATTAGTTGATATCAGAGTTACGGAAAAGCAAACAGCCAATCGGCTATCAGTTAAAGTCAAATAGCGGATCCTTTTGTATCGATCATTGATAACAGAACAACCTTCAGAAGATATATATCTGATTTTCTTCAGGAGGGAAAAGCAAAATATTTAAGTGCATACTATGTGTTTAATTCATATATCAGATTAGATATGAGCATTGATTTCTTTTTGGATGTTTTGTTGATTTCAGGACCTGAAATTGTGGACTTGTTGCACTTGAAAAAAAGATGCCTAACCTTCTGATATTATTGACAAACATGGCCATGTGAGAAATAATGATGTGTGTCCATAAGACTCACTTGTACATGGGCCCATACTGTAGCTCAAGCTTGGCCACTCAGCATTACTGAAACTTTGTGGCATACTTCATTGTACATATATAATTCTTTGGGGCCAATAACAAGTTGGAAGACAAAACCTTGTGATTTTTCTTTTTGGTAGAATTTGTCACCATCTCTTCTTTGAAATTCCTACTATTATTCAATCTTCATTGAAATCTTCATACACCTATAAAATGGATACAATTGGGCTGATATGAAGCACAACTCCTCCCAAAATCCATCATAGCATCTTTCACATAAAAGAAATCCTTTCAGAAGAAAGAGACCGTAGCCTTCATATAAAAATGGCCATTCGTATGCCTCGAATCATTCAGGCCAAAAAAGTTCTCTGTCGATCATTCTCCAATGGAATCCGCTCATCATCATCATCGGTAGACATCATCCCCAAAGGACATTTTGCAGTTTATGTTGGTGATCAAGAAAAAAGACGATTTGTTGTTCCTATATCGTTATTAGAGCAGCCTTCATTCCAAGATCTGCTACGTCAATCAGAGGAAGAATTTGGTTATGATCATCCAATGGGTGGCCTCACAATTCCATGTCGTGAGGATGTCTTCATTCAACTTGCATCTGGCCTGATCTGCTCATTATGACCAAGAATTTTGCATTCTATTTGATAACATATACATAATTTTGTACAGTAGAAACCACCATGAAACCTAAGTATTTGTAAAGTAGTCTCCAAATTGTACGATAACCAACACTAGTTTGACTATTAACATAGCAATGTAGAACATCATTCAGTTAAAAAGGAGAATGAATTGGCTTAAAGTTTCCCGTAGGTATATTATTGATATATATATATATATATATATATATATATATATATATATATATATATATATAACAATTACACAGGAAGATCCATAAGAATCGGATCTCTGCAACTACAAAACAGCTTCTAGATAATTACAACAATCTAATCTAGTTATCTATTTATTATTTGAATTAGTTGGATAACCCTTCTCTTTACATTCCCCCTCAATCTTAACGACTACAAGGTTAAGATTGGACTTCATACGATCCAACATCTGACGAGTAACCGGTTTAGTGAATCCATCAGCTATCTGATCTTTTGAAGAAATAAAACGAACATCAAGTGCTCCCATGGCTACCTTCTCTCTGACAAAATGGAAATCGACTTCAATGTGTTTTGTTCTTGCATGGAATACCGGATTCGCTGTTAGATAGGTGGCACCCAAGTTATCACACCATAGAACAGGTGGTCTTGGTTGACAAACTCCAAGCTCCTTGAGTAATGACTGTACCCATATCACTTCCGCTGTACCATTAGCCAATGCCTTATACGCCTTATACTCAGCCTCCGTACTTGAGCGTGACACTGTGGGTTGTTTACGAGAACTCCACGAAATCAAATTTGGACCTAGAAACACAACAAATCCTCCGGTAGATCTACGATAATCCAAACAGCCAGCCTAGTTGGCATCTGTAAAAACACTTAATAGTGTGGAACTAGACTTTCGAATATTGAGCCCAGTATTGATCGTGCCCTTTACATATCTAAGTATTCGTTTTGCCGCTTCCCAGTGCATATCTGTTGGTTTGGAAAGATATTGACATACCTTGTTAACTGCAAACGAAATATCAGGCCGAGTTAGAGTAAGATATTGCAATCCTCCAACCATACTTCTATACTTGAAAGCATCATCATCACTCAACAACTTCCCATGATCTTTTAAAAGTTTATCTATGACAGACATGGGGGTTGAGACACTCTTACAATTCTCCATGTGAGTTCGATGTATGAGATCATTAGCATATTTTTGTTGAAACACGTTGATCCCCCCTGAATTGTGAGTGACTTCAATCCCAAGAAAATACTTGAGGCGACCAAGATCTTTGAGTGGAAAAGCCGATGAAAGATTACTAATAAGTTGGTCAACAATGTGTTGAGAGGAGCCAACGATAACTATATCATCGACATACACCAACATGTAGATAGTATGATGACCATGATGAAACAAAAACAACGAATTATCAGCTCTGGAGGAGCGAAAACCAAGATGATGAAGTTTTTCATTGAGACGAGAAAACCACGCACGGGGTGATTGTTTTAGCCCATAGATAGATTTTCGAAGCTTGCGGACATAATGCGGATGTGTGGCCTCTTCAAAACCAGGAGGTTGTTTCATATAAACATCTTCATTTAAGAATCCATGCAAAAACGCGTCGTTGACGTCAATCTGTCGGAGATGCCAATTTTTAGAGACAGCCAGAGCAAGTACCAATCGAACCGTAGATGGCTTGACAACTGGGCTGAACGTGTCTTGGTAATCAATACCGTATTGTTGGGTAAACCCACGTGCCACCAAGCGTGCCTTGTGTTTGTCTAGTGAACCATCCGGATTTAGTTTGGTTTTAAAAATCCATTTGCATCCAACAATGTTAACCCCATTTGGTCGCGGTACTAAGGACAAGGTGTTATTCCTTTGTAGGGCTGCAAATTCGTCTTCCATAGCACTGCACCACTTTGGATCAGCTAAGGCCAACTGATGTGATGTTGGTTCAGCAAAGAAGGCCCGCCTGTTGGGATTATAGAGAATTGTACCATCATTAAACCGTTTAGGAAAAGATTTTCCAGCTCGTCCTCGTGTGACGATACCAGATGGGACAACTGGTGGGCTGACCAGAGTGCTTGGTGGAGTGGTCGGAGCAGGAAACATAGATTGGGGTTCATTGAAAGCTGTACCACCGGCTGTAGAAGTTGTACCGTGAGTAGTGGCTGTGACAGTGGGTACTGTATCTGAAGCTGCAGGTTCACTTGTAGATGGTGGTGAAATCGTGGGGATTGGCATTGTATGTGTATCAATAGACATTCCAGACATTGAGCTATTCATTGGAACTGTAGCTGCATGAACAGGATTAGCTAATAACAAGGATATATCATATTTTCTCATGTGGTCGTTCATGATATTAAGTTCTGTTTGAGGAAACTCGACACTCGGCAACGATTGTGATGGAGTGTTTGACACAGTAGTTGCAAAAGGAAACCTAGACTCATCAAAGATCACATCCCTAGGAATATAAATTCGACCAGTTTGCTTATCGAGACATTTGTACCCTTGGTGCATAGAACTGTAACCCAAGAAAACACATATAGTAGATCGAAAAGAAAGTTTGTGTGTGTTGTATTTTCGAAGACTTGGCCAGCAAGCACAGCCAAAGGTGCGCAAGAAATTATAATCAGGTATGATATTTAAAAGGCGTGTGATAGGAGTAGAATTATGAATAACGGGGTTAAGCATGCGATTAATTAAATAACAAGCCGTTAGGAAAGCTTCGTCCCAATATTTAAGAGGAAGTGAGGAGTGTGCTAATAAGTCAAGCCGGTTTTGACAATATGACGGTGTTTTCGTTCCGCCATACCGTTTTGTTGGGAGGTATGCGGGCACGATACTCGATGAGAAATTCCACATTGCTGAAAGTATTTATGGATTTTGTGATATTCACCCCCCCCCCCCCAATCTGATTGTACAATACGAGTTTTGGTGTTTAACAAACGTTCAACATGTTTTTGAAAGGTATAAAAAACTTGTTCAACATCAGACTTTTGTTTAATGCAATAGATCCAAGTATAACGACTGAAATCGTCCAAAAAACTAACATAATATCAAAAACCACCACTAGAAACTTCAGCTGGTCCCCAAACATCAGTGTGGACAAG